ATATATATATAATTGATTTCAGAGAGGAAGGGAGAGGGAGAGAGAGATAGAAACATCAGTGATGGAAGAGAATCATTCATCAGCTGCTTCCTGGGGATCGAGCCTGCAACCCAGGCATGTGCCCTAACCAGGAATCAAATGGTGACCTCCTGGTTCATAGGTCTACACTCAACTACTGAGCCATGCCATCCTGTCTTCTATTCTTTATGGACCAAGCCTTCCCAGCATGCTCCAGAGTCCAGGGTAAGGGGTGTGGGGCTTGTGGCATTAACAATGGTGTGAAGGCCCCTCACTCCTTGCCTGTCCCTTTCCTTTGAACCCTGCCTTGTCCCTCAGCCAGAGTAAACTACTGGAAGCTAAAGCAGTGTCCGGAAGGGAAATCACCGCATGTGCCATTCATCTCTGTTCCATAATAACCCCTTGATAGCAGGTTCAGCTTCGTGCAAAATCATAAACAAATAACTAGAGGCAAAGACAAACACACAGGTGCTGCCAGGCTAAGCCACTGTCAGTCACCCATCACTGGATGGAGAGATGGACACAACCAATCCTGGTGGCCCGGTGCTTCCCTAGAGCATGCTGAGTCCAGAGGCAGCCAGGGACAAGTGAAATCCTCTCTGGGCCTACTGCTGCTGGATCTTCATACATACATCCTGAATTTCTCTCCTTTAGAAGTTCCCCTGCAATTAATTCCCTATCCCAACGCCTTGCAGAGAGCCCGGCACACAATAGGTGCTCCTCATTAGTTCACTCCTTTATTCAACAACAAATACTTATTACCAACAAATACTTATGGAAGGAAGGATCTCCTTCCATAGCGAGCTCCTGGAACCAAGGACTCTGCTGGCCCGAGGCTCTCGGTGGCCCCTATGTCTATATTCATCTGTGCCCATTGCTTTTTTAATCCTAGGTGGAGGGTGGCTTTGGTTGGGCATGGGCTGAGTATTATTCTTGGTGCTAGGGACAAAGCCGTCAAAAGGCAACATCCCTATCCTTATGGAAGTTAAATAGTAGTGGAGGAAACGGGCAGCAAATAAATGATTCCTACTCAATAAATATTTGGTGACTATAAATGACTCCTCTTTATGGCTTTTTTAGACACGGCGAATTTGGAGTCAGACAGTCCTGGGGTGCACGCCCCGCTCCATCCACTAGCTTTGGGCAAATTACTCATCCCTCCAAGGCTTGGTTTCCTCATCTAAAAGATAGGTTTAGTAACTGAACCCCTCAGGTTTTGAACAACTGCTGATGCTCAAAAATTAGACCTAGCATTGATGGATGGGGCCTTTTTTGGCCTCAAATCTTAACCCTCAGAGCCCATCTTAAGCACTACCAACCCCAGCCCTTCTCTACTCTTCCTCTCACTTTCAGAGGCTCCTGTCTTTCAGTGGTGTGCTAGCTTAGCACCCAGGAAACCGAGAGAAAGTGAAAAGACCCTGATTTCTAACTTTGCTGACTTCTGTAGTAAACACTTGCATTACTGCCATTTCAAGAACTCGGAGTTGGGAAGAGAGATGCACAGTCGACTCTCAGCCAATGTGAGCTGGCGGGGGCCCACCACTGCAGCTTTAGATCCCCTTCTAACACTTTCCTCCAAGTTATTGATAACTAGAGGCCTGGTGCACGAATTCATGCACCAGTGGTGTCCCTTGGCCTTGCCTGTGGGATCGGGCCAAAACCGGCTCTCTGACATCCCCCGAGGGGTCCCAGATTGTGAGAGGGCACAGGCCAGGCCGAGGGACCCCACTGGTGCACGATCAGGGCTGGGGAGGGACGAGGGCTCCAGGGCGTGTCCGGCCCATCTTGCTCAGTCCTGATAGGTCAGACCCCAGCAGCAAGCTAACCTACCAGTCGAAGTGTCTGCCCCCTGGTGGTCAGTGCGCGTCATACCGACTGGTTGACCAGTTGACTGTCTGCCCCCTGGTGGTCAGTGCGTGTATACCGACAGGTTGACCAGTTGACTGTCTGCCCCCTAGCGAGCGGTTGAGAGACCTTAGCATATCATTAGCATATTATGCTTTGATTGGTTGAATGGCCTACCAGTTGACCAGACACTTAGCATATTAGGCTTTTATTATATAGGATGGTCTTATGTCTCCTTCTATCCTGAGTGCCCTCTTCAAACCAGAATCATGACAAGCAGGGTATCTCTCTCTATTCCTACCCAGTACTCCTTTCTCACCTCAGACTCTTCGCTAAAAAGCCACCTGCTCTCTGCTAGTTTGTGACACTTCTAAGGAGTAGTATGGACAGACTCACCCCTGTGGCACAGGCTAGGAGAGGACCTGCTTGGGACCCCTTTGACTCTAGGGCATCTGGAGAAGAAAGGAGAGGAAAGTCACTCCTTCATCCTGTCCCTGCATAGACATAGCCGCACCTCTGGGCTATTTTAAGCTGCCTGTTTACCCCTGGGGCCCAGGAGACAGCTCTCCACAGCTGTCACTTGTGGCCAGGAAACACTCAGGGCTCCACCTCCCCCCTGAGCTGCCCAGAAAGCTGCCCGACCTGTGACCCTTTTTCTGAGCCACGGGTCAGGGAAAGCCTCTGAACCACGCTGCCCTGCAGATGGAGACAGGTGGAGCTCTGCTTGGTAAACCTGGGAACCAAAATGAGTAAGAGAACAGTGGAAAGGTCACTTGGCTGGAGTCAGACGACCTGCCACTTACTGGTTCTGAGGTCCTGGACAAGTCACTCAATCTCCCTCGCTCAGTTTCCCCGTCTGTGAGTGGCAATGCTATAGCTCCCTCTCCTAGCACTGTGCTGAGGGTTGAATGAGCTCATGCATGTGAACGTTTACCATGCTTATAAAGACCTGGACAGATGTAAGTTACACGAGAGGACTTAACCCGTTAGGACCCACCACCCTGGGACTCCAAAGCCTATTTTACTCAACAAACACAGTCTGATTCTGTTCAGAGCCTACCCTGTCCCTGTGTGGGGAGATCACAGCCTGCACCGAGTGGGCACGTGTGTGCTCGTCTGCGTGGCCAGGACAGCGTGCATCAGCATGCTTAGGGGACAGAAAAAGGGTCTCCTTCCATAGCGAGCTCCTGGAACCGAGGACTCTGCTGGCCTGTGGCTCTCGGCGGCCCCTATGTCAATATTCATCTGTGCCCATTGCTTTTTTAATCCTAGGTCGAGGGCGACTTTGGTTGGGCATGGGCGAACGCTCTACCCTGAATTCTTGCCTCTGGAATTAGGATGCATTTCCCTAAGGTTCGCTTAGAAATTGGAAAATTCCTGAGCTGGAAGGGAGCTTGGAAATCAGCTGGCGTAACTTGCTCATGCTACACATAAAAAAACGGAGGCAGGACTGGAAAGCGACTTGCCAAGCTTAAAGTGACAGGTCACATTGCCACCCAGGGATCCTTCTGCCCCTTGAAGGCACCACGCCCCTTAGTGCGACTCCTCTGCCTGTGAGCCTTGCTGGACCCCAGGGGGGAAACCTTGGCTCAGGAGGAAATGTGGCCCCACGTATCCCCCTCTTATTCTTTGCTTAGAAACTTAGCAGGGTCTTCTCTTAAAGGGACACAGAGGGAAGAGGAAGAAGACCACTTGGTGCTATTCCTAGAGACGCACAATGTGGACAAGACAGAAGGACCCTGTAAGCAACCCCTGCGTGGGGCCTCACCCTTTGCTCTGGGTCCTGGTTCCTCCGGGCTGGGCTGTGGCTACAGGGGTGGGATCCCTCTTCTGTCCAGAAGCTCCTGGCCTAACCTCTGTTATCTGTACTGTGACCTGTTTCCTTGGGGGTGGAGGTGGACAGGCCCTGGGGAAGCTCAGAAAAGACTGAACAAGGACAAAACTGCTTCTCACTCAGGCCTGGGGAAGGATGATCCTATTTTAGGATCTTCCCCTCCTGAGGGAGGCTCTAAAGCAGTGGTTCTCAACCTGTGGGTCATGACCCCTTTGGGGGTCGAGCGACCCTTTCACAGGGGTCGCCTAAGACCATCGGAAAACACATTTATAATTACATAATTGTTTTTGTGATTGATTACTATGCTTTAATTATGTTCAATTTGTAACAATGAAATTGGGGGTCACCACAACATGAGGAACTGTGTTAAAGGGTCGCGGCATTAGGAAAGTTGAGAACCAAAGAGGGAGACATGCAGATAGAGGAGAGGCCCACTCGGAAGCAGAGAGAAGGGAGGGAGGAGGCCCTATGACTGGGGCCACATTTAAATGTGCCAGTGTCCTTATCAGGTTCCCTGGGACTGAACAGAGAGGCAGGTGATGTCCCAAGACCAGGAGGCCTCAGTGGTGGTTGCACTGCCTCTAAGGAACTCCTCCTACCTCCCCTGACTAGAGGGTCCAGGGTGTCACCCCAAGAAGCCAAGCGCGATTGCTGCTGTGTCCCCAGCAGCCTGAACCTTGCACACCTGCGCACGCTCACAGTTTGACCCTGACTCCTGCTATTACTGTCCTAAATCCCCCGGCCTGTCCCCAGCCCCTGCTCCTCTAGGGAGGAGGACCCAGGCCACACCAGCTCTCACCCCGTGACGATCTCAAAGGGGGGCAGCTGGATCAGCTCCTTCAGCTTCTCGGGGTCATCCAGGTTCTCCAGATCCTCGCCATTCTGGGAGGCAGGCGCAGACTCCTCGGTGGTGGTGGCGGCAGCGGCAGCCTCTTCTTTCTGGGCCATGGCGGGGCTGTGGCTGGGGAGTCACTGAGAGAGAGGAGAGGAGGCGGTCTGGGCCAGGGCCTGGCAGCAAAGTCCCAAGCAGCTGTCAGCAGCTAAATCTGCTGGGGATGACAGGCAGAGGACTGGGCAGGCCGGCTGAGTGTGCTCACCCTGCTACCGCGACAGGCTTTATAAGCAGAGGCTGCCTGCCCCTCCCCCAGGCCCTCTCCTATCTTTTTTTAATTGAGTGACAGAGGGCGCCAGGATGGGGAGGAATGGAAAATCTGGCCATGAGTATCCCTATTTATCAGTAGGCAAAGACAGGAAGCTGGCAGGTGGGGATGGCTTCACCTACTCTCTCTCCCCTCCCCCGCTGGCTGGCGTATGTATTCATATACAACCCCTCTGGTAAACACCATACTGTTGTCTGTGTCTATAAGGTTTTTTGTTCTTGTGTTTTTTTGTTTGTTTTTTCTTTTGTTGCTTTGTTTTATATTCCACATGAGTGAAATCATATGGTTCTTGTCCTTTTCCATCTGACTTATTTCACTTAGCACGATACTCTCAAGATCCATCCATATTATTGCAATTGTCAGTATTTCATCTTTTCTTATGGCTGAGTACTATTCCATTGTATGTATGTACCCACATCCTCTTCATCCAGTCACCCACTGGAGGACATTTAGGTTGTTCCCATATCTTGACCCCTGACAATAATGATGTAATGAACATAGGGGTACATATATCTTTATGGATAAACTAGAGGCCTGATGCATGAAATTCATGCAAGAGTAGGCCCTCGCAGCCCCGGCTTCGTCCAGAAGGTCGTCCAGATGGTCGTTCCGCTGTTTGGCCATTCAGTCGATTTGATTATTATAGATGTTTTCAAATTTTTCTGGTAGGTACTCAGAAGAGGCATTGCTAGTGATATGGTAGCTCTACTCTTAATTTTTTGAGGAAGCTCCATACTATTTTCAATAGTAGCTGTATCAATTTACATTCCCACCAGCAGTGTATGTGGGTTCCCTTTTCTCCACATTTTCTCCAACACTTCTTGTTTCTTGTCTTATTGATAATAGCCATTCTGAAAGGTGTAAGGTGGTATTTCATTGTGGTTTTGATTTGCATTTCCCTTATAGCTAGTGGAGTTGAGTATTTTTCATATATCTGTTGCTCATTTGTATGTATTCTTGGGAAAAGTGTCTAATCATGTTCTCTGCCTATTTTTACTTGAATTGGTTGGGGTTTTTGTTGTTATTGAGTTGTATAAATTCTTTGTATAATTTGGATATTAGCCCCTTATCAGAAGTATTGTTTGCAAATATCTTTTTCCATTCAGTTGGATGCCTTTTTGTTTGTTGATGGTGTCTTTTGCTTTGCAGAAGGTTTTTAGTTTGATATAGTTCCATTCATTTGTTTTTGCTATTACTTCCCTTGCCTTTGGGGTCAAATTCATAAACCCTCCCTAAGACCAAGGTCTATAAATGTAGTACCTATGTCTTCTTCTATGTATTTTATTAAAACCCAGGATTTTTACTCCAGAGGCCAAACGTTAACCACAATGCTATGTTTCCTCTCGGTCAGTTCTTTATTCACTTAAAAAATATTTATTGAGCATATACGATGTGCCAGGTGCTGTTTCAGATACCAGGGATATAGTAAAGAACAACACAAACGAAAACCAAGTTCTCACAGAGATTGAGGGGGTTGGACAATAAACATGATAAGTAATACATATGATCTATTTGGCGAGCTAAATGCTAAGGAAGAAAGTAGGGAAGGGGAACAGAGTGACAAGGGAGGGTGTTACATTCTCATAAGATGGCCAGGGAAGGACTTTGAAAAGGAGAGAATTGGGAAAAGATCGGAAGGAGGTGAGGGAAATAATAATATGGATATCTAAGGGGCAAGTGTTTCGAGGAGGGGAAGAGCTGTTTCAGATACCAGGGATATAGTAAAGAACAACACAAACGAAAACCAAGTTCTCACAGAGATTGAGGGGGTTGGACAATAAACATGATAAGTAAAACATATGATCTATTTGGTGAGCTAAATGCTAAGGAAGAAAGTAGGGAAGGGGGACAGAGTGACAAGGGAGGGTGTTACATTCTCATAGGATGGCCAGGGAAGGACTTTGAAAAGGAGAGAATTGGGAAAAGATCTGAAGGAGGTGAGGAAAATAATAATATGGATATCTAAGGGGAAAGTGTTTCGAGGAGGGGAAGAGCAGGTACAAGGGCCCTCAGGTGGGCACAAGCCAGAACACCTGTGTGTGTGGAGAGTCCTAGGAGATGAGGCCAGAGAGATAATTAAGGGCTAAATAGGCTGGGGCCTTATGGGCTGTTTTTCTCTGAGTGAGATGGGGAGCCACTGTCTTTGAACAGATGAGACGCATAATCTGACTTATGTTTTCACAGAATCGCTCAGGCTGCTTGGCTGAGAATAGACCAAAAGTGGGAAAGAGCAGAAGCAGAGGGACCAGTCATAAGCCAATGGAAACTAATGAGAGATGGGGCCCCTCGAGAAATCCCTGAGCTGGCACAGTGTCCGGAGATGGATGGATGTCTTTGCAGGGCTCACCACAGGTCCTTAGCAGGTGCCACAGGTTTTTCACGTCGGGAACAGTACAAACATTCTAGAACACTCTCAGGGCAATGGAAGGGTGGGGACCTGGGCTGAACACAGCTCCCAATAGGTTTGGCTGGTGGAGATAAGTAGGTGGGGGACCCTGTCCACGGTCTGACTGGAGAATAGGAGTCAGGATGGTTCGGAGGATTTGGGGCGCTCTTCTCCTGAGAGTGCCGAGCAGCATGGTGCCCAAAGGTGCCCAGGTAGTTTTGTTTGCCTGGGATAGTCATGGTTCATACCTGTTGTCCAGGCATAATTCCTACCAGTGCCCCTTTCGCTCCCAAATTGGCCCCGTATAGACAAAAAACTATATGGTCACCCTACCCATTGGGTTTATTACGAAAGGCATTCTTATCCAGAGATTAATTTTTTCAGGCATTTTCCAGGGGTAAAAGCACAGGATGGTGACAGGAGTGCCTGTGTCCACAAGGAAAGGAGGCGCTAGCTGATAAACAGCAAGCACACATTATTATTATTATCATCATCATACAAACACACAGCACTGAAATGCAAAGATTGATTCATTCTTCCATCGATCCACATTTACTGAGGGCTCCTATATGCCAGGCACTGTGGGAAACACCAGGAACACAGAGACGAGGAAGGCGCGGCTCACCAGGTGCTCCCAGTCTCTGTAACCTTTGGGCACCATCAGGCAGCCCGTGGTGCATGATCTCACTTAGTTCTCTCACCCTTCTCACATGGGGCGTGAATTATGGGCCTTGTTTTGGGAGTTAGGGACCTGCGGCTCAGAAAGGTGAAGGGATTTGTGCAAGATTACACGAGGTAAGTCCAGTCTTCTGAGCCCAGGTCCTATTTCCAGGGCTGCACCCAGCTAGCTCTGACGAGTATATCTCCATAACGTTATCAACAGCTACAGTGATGTGCTCGGGCAAGAGAGGAAGAGTCTTTTCGGTTCCCCGTCCCCCTGACTTCTTCCCTGAGGACAGGTTCTGATATTTTGGCTGTCACGTGTAACCCTCGATTGGGAGGGAAAAATCCATGTTTAATCCCCATCTCAGCCCTTGATTCACTGTGTGGTTTTGGCCAAATCACTTAGCACCTCTGGGCCTCTGTGTTCGCACCTTCCTTTTCCAGGACGGTCCAAGGGAGGGAAATGAGGAGAGGGCTGGCTCCCAAGCATCGCGGGGCGGAGGCGAACAGTGTGGCACAAATGTTCTGACCCAGTGACGTTGGGAGGTGCAGAGGTGGTCCCAGGCTCGTCCTCTCTGAAGAGGTGACCCCTCGCTTCCGCCACACCCATACACAGTTTTTCCTTTGATACTTGAGTGAGCTCCCTAGACCTTCCCCTGGACTGATGACTGACAGCTTCCTTTTTCCACTGCCCCTTCCCAGCCCCCCCCCCCCCCGCCCCCATCTCTGGAGGCCCTGGACAGCTCTGGCTATTTATGGCACCTCCTGGGGACCTGGATTCCTGGCTGGTCCTTAGCTCTTCTTTCCAAGCCAGACCCGTTCCCCTGTCGGCCCCAGAATGCGGCAGCTAATCTGGGGGATCAGATGCCAGGAGCCTGCGTCCTCCTCCTGCAGCTGCTACTACACTGTTTTTAGGGCAGGCATTCCCACCCCCACATTAGCACCACTGAGTAAGTTTCTATCAATATGACCCTCCTGCATGGAGGACACTGGGAAGTACGGCTTCTACTTTAAGATCATACCAGGAGTCAGTGGGACGCTGGGATCTGAACCCAAGTCCCATGCTTTCCCCACTGTGTTATCCTGCCTGGAATTCAGTTACAGTGAGAATGGACACGAGCACAGCCCGACTGGGGCCTGAGACTGGTTACCCAGGCCCCGTAAATGAACTCCTCACAAGGATGTCGGGTAGGTAGTAGTATTATCCTCATTGTTTTGGTGAGAAAATTGAGACCAGAGAGGTTAAGTGACTTGCCCAAGGTCACGTAGCTACTGAGAGCTCTGTGCTTCCATACACACGCTCTTAACCCCTTTATTCAGTCCCTACTGCTGCCAGGACTTGGGGGGTCAGGCTCTGAGGGAGGAGGGGCACGAAGGGGACTGGGGGAGAAGGGGTGCTCAGGGAGACTGGGCTCTGGCAGCAGCTGGTATATGTGTGTAGGGGGAGAGGCATAGAGACAGGCAGCTGATAAGTGGGGATGGAACTAAAAGGGGACTCTCCCCGTCTGCCCCTGTGGGCCCCGGCCCGTCTCCAGGTGGCAGAGGCTAGAAGGAGCTGGGTTAGGCCCAGAGGAAGCCACAGCCTGACTCTCCAGGTCTCATTTCCCATGGTTGGTTCAGGAAACATTCGGAGGAGCAAGGAGGTGGCCGAGGAGGAGGGAACAGGGCCAGGCTCGGCCACTCCTTGGGTCTCGGCTGGATGCCGAGGTGCCCTCATGAGGAAGGGAGTAGAGAGGCCAGGAGGCGGCGGGTGGAAAATAGCAGCCTCACCAGGGGAAGGTTTAAATTCTCACTCGGTGCAACAAGACACCGGAGCAGGTTGATGGAGCGGGTGCTTTATGTGCTGGAACAGCTGGGACCCCAACAGCGCGTTGCCCCAGAGACCCAGCTC